GCCGCGGCCGGCCCCGCCCCGGGGCGGCGCACCCCGGGCCAGGTGAGGCACTGGGGGGCCGCCCAGTTCCGGCCCGGCGTCTTCCAGGCACCAATCGCCGCACCCCAACTCCTCACCCCACGGAGCCCTCCACGCGGGGCCCTCCACGACGCCCTCTTTCGCGTCGGAAATCCAAGAGGCTCGGAGCGCCACCGCGGCCTGCGGACCTGAGCAGCCTGGACACGGCTCCGAAGGCACGGCCCCGGAGAGCCCGGGGTCCACGAGGTCACCGGCCTCGGCCCCGGGGGCGCGCGGGCGGCTCCAGCTCGCCCCGCCCCTTTTCGTTCCGCCTGCCCGCCCTCCCTCTCCCTCAGCCCCGCCCCTCCGCCAGCCCTGCCCCGCCCTCTTCGCCAGCCACGCCCCTCCCCGCCATTCCGCCCGCCCTGGCGCACAGGCCGCACCCAATACGCGCCTCTGTCAGCAGCACCCACCTACCAGACCTGACCAACCACAAGGCCCAGCCCAGACTTCTGGCCCCGCCCTTGGCCACAAGGCCACGCCCACCCTTTAGGTGCTGGGCGGATCACCCTCCTTCGGGGTGGACGTTGTTGGTGCGGGCGGGATGTTTGCAGTGCGCGTGCGCAGCCTGAAGACGCGCTGACGCGGTCTTTAAGCGCCAGCGAGCACCGGGGAAGATGGCGGAACGCAGTCATAAGTCCGTGCTATTCGTGTGTCTGGGTAAGGGTGCGCTTGGGACGCTGAGGGCCTCCCGTGTGCCCCAGGCTGCACACTCGACGCAAACCTGGGCCTGGGGCGGCGGCTTTGGTGGGCCGGGCTGGCGGAGCCCTCGCCCGCCGTGTCCGCACTCGCCGGCGCTTCTCCCCGCGCTGCGTCCTCCCTCGCTGTCCTGTTCCCGCAAGCCCGAGTGCTCGGAGCTGGCCGCCGTCCGCGGCACGGCGTCCCCGGTTCCACCCGCCCGTGGGGTAGGGCCTGCGGCTGCACGGGACGCGTTCTGCCGGGACCCTCCCCAGCCGAGGCTGCGCTGCTGCCCGGCTGCCCACCTGCCCTGCTGCCCGGCTGCCCACCTGCCCGGCTGGCTACCCAGCTGCCCAGCTGCCCACCTGCCCGGCTGCCCCGGCTTGTTGGCCGCGCCCTGAGCTGCCCTTCTTAGCAGTGTCCACCAAAGGAGGCTGACGGCCTAGGTTCCAGCTTCCCAGTATCCCACGCCTTCTGTAAACTTGGTCTCCATGCATGAAAACTGTGACGTTTTGAACATTAACCCTTCAGATACTTTCTATCTCAGAATTATTTTGATTCTTAGGATTTCAATGTTGAGGCTTCCTTACTTAAAATAGAATTCACGCTTTAATTCTCAGCATGCGTTCTCAGTGCTTCCAACCCCGGAAGATGACTACTGAGTTGTCAGTAGTCCAGTTCTTCCAGATACACATTTTCTACAGAAAAAGCGGCTCCTCTTTAGGATGGCCGTTTGCCACAACTTTCCTACCCCCTTACCTGTTCCCACCCACATGTGGGTGTTCCCTTCCTGATCCAAATACAACTCTTGCTAAGATGCTCTACTTTTTTGGATACTGTGTTGTATCTTGTCTGGAAACCCTTGTATTTTATGAGGTCAAATTGATATACACCTCTTTGCTTCCTCAAAGAAATACACTGCTTCCTTTGGCCCTTGAGATACTTTATTACAGAAATTTCATTGTAATTATTTGACAAGCCTGTTGAGATCCTAGTGAGATTTAGCTGTATTACAAGTAATAACTATGGCATGTTTTTCTTTGTTTTTCCAATTTTAGGGTAGTATGGTATATGAATCTAAGTATTGGTAGTAGTTTATTTCTATGAGGCAAAATGTAAACAACCCATCCTATTGATAGTGACCATCATTGGATTTTTGAGGTCCTTAGTGAACTGGAGAAATCAGAAAATTTATTAAACAGTTTGTTTCAGGTTGGGTAATTATAAGTGTCCCAGGCTGTGTTTATTTTTTTTAATAATGTTGGATTTTTTTCAGCATAGTGGCTGTTAATAGGCAAGTGTATGCTTGCTTATATTTTTCTTTAATACAGCAACTTTTTTCCCACTCCCACTCACTATATTCCAAGCAGTGGGGATGATAGAGTAGTGAACACCACAGATAACACTCAGTCACCGTTTGCCAGTTGAGCAGTGCTATTGTACTGGTTCACTTAAAGAAAAACCAGGAATTGGTGGGAGTGGGGTGCAGTTTGTGACTAGAAAAGTCTCACCTGAAGTGACCCACATGTGAGCAGATAATTAAAGGGAGTGAGGAGGCATGTTTATTCTGGGCCAGATGTCAGCTGGTGTGGTTTTTAGGCAGTCCTGCTGGCCATAGCCCCAAATAGGGAAGCCACAGTGGCTAGACCTGGAGACAGGAGGCCTTTCTCAACCTTGAGTCCTCCTTTGTGTCTGAGGAGTGTGTAGATAACTTGAGTGACTGTTTTGTCTGCTTCCATAGATAATTAATATCCTCCTTGATGCATGTAGAAACCTTAGGTCCTTACATAGAGTGGGTGCTTTAGGCCTGATTATGCATATCCTATAAAAAAAAAAACAGAGTGAACACTTTAGCTTTGAGGTAAAACCAGTGGTTTTGCCCTAGACAACTCAAATTATCAAACTTAACTATGTCCGAATATAACTTTATTCATAGACACCAGCATTGGAACATTACCTAATTGGTCACATGTTACAAGTTTTTCTGCTTTTGCATTTTTTCAGCTACTTAAAACTAAAAATTACTCATAGCCTTCTGTGCAGTATACAAAGGTGGTAGTCCAAGAGATGTAATTTCTGGACCCCTGTTTGTGGTGCAGATCTTGGGAGACTTGTGTGAAGACTTTGACATGCTAGATAAGTTACTGTCATGGCCAGGAATGTAAGCTGCAGTGTAGAGATTAGACTGAAGGAGGGGTTGGTTCTAATGAGGGTGCCTTTGCTAGTAAGGTGGAAAATCTGGAGGTGAGGGGTGGGGAGAGAGTATGAATGCATTCTATACAGTAGTCCACCCAGGAGACAGTGGGAGCTGTATGCTTGGAACATAAAAGATTTATTCCTTCAGAGCCTTCAGTTAGGCTTTTGATATTGAAGTGTAGAAAAGCAGCTGAGGTTTGTCAGTGGTTGGGGTATTGGTTGAGCAGAAGAGCTTCTTACTTCAGCAAGGTTGTGAGAAGAGCTTTGTGCTCTTAAGCTATACCCACTGGGGAAGGTGGCTTTGATCTGAGCCCCAGCCAGTGTGGCTGGGAAGAGAACCTTGGTGGCATATTAATGGACCTTGTTCTGAAGGCAGAGCCTGAGGCTCTATTGGTGGCCAATTGTGCTCCATTTTCTGTTGTTTTTATTGGACAGGATTGAACCCACGGTCTTGCACATGGCTAGGAAAGGTTCCTGCCACACAGCTAAATCCCCAATCCTTGTGGATTTTAATAATGTATTTTATAGTATTAACTTTGGGAATCTGGAAACACTAGATTACAAGTTACTAGCATTTGGAGTTCTTTTCGGTTGATTTTGCACTTAGTATTACTTATAGTTTTTCCAGTAGAGCTTTTTTTCAGTCTATACTTTGTTTCACTTAATTACTTTAAATATAACTATCTGGAGGCAAAATATGGATGAATATTCCCTTAAACACTGACTAGCTCAAGTTTTTGTATTACTATGGAGAAATTAAGCTGTTATTTTACAGTGAATGATAGTTATTAGGAAAGAGGTGGAGTCGGGCTAGTTTCTTATTGTTGTTAGTTTGGTGGTGGTACTGAGGTTGAACTCAGGGTTGTTCATATGTAGAAACTCTTATCTTGAGTCCCAGCCCGAGCCTGTTGGGTCTTGTTTTTTGTTTTTCCTCCAGGCCATCCTAGACACCAGAGTCCTGTTTATACCTCCCATCTAGCTAGGTGATGGGGGGTGCCACCATATTGAGGTTGGGTCTTGCAGTCTTTTTGCCCCTTATGGCTTCAAACTATGATCACCTGATCTATGTCTTCCAAGTGGCTGGGTTTACAGGTGTGCGCTACCATGCTCAGCCTAGGGTTCATCTATTGTGTTTTTAAATGCTGAAATATAGACATCTACTACTATTTCTAGAGTTCTAAAATAATAGCACTTATCCTGACTTGGCATACAGTCAAGGTATTGCCAGGGGTATCCTCTGATGATGTGATCATACACTCTTAGGAAGCCTTTCAATAGTAAGGTATTTGCTGATGGTAATACTTGTTGAAAAATCAAACAAAAATTAGATTGTGGAAAGGAAAAACTTTATAACATGCACTAGTATATAGAGGTCATTCAAAATTAATTCTTGTTTTATGTAGTTTAAAAAAGAGACTTTTTACAACTATAGGAAATCACAATGTATATGAAAAGGGCTCAGGTCTTGTAATATAGAAGCTGAGGAAAGTGGAAGTGAACTGGTCCAGGGACTGGAGCATTAGTGTTTTATCACATGTCTGAAAATTCTGGTTCATCTTGTTTACCAAAAGCTAGGAGAGTCCAGCTTTGGAGAGTAACATCTGTCATGTAATAGCCTCTCTTCTAACAGTTTCACTTTCCTCTCTTCATTTCCTGTAGCCACCTTTTTAATTGTAATCCTAATGTTGGCTTACATGATACCCCAAAATATGGTGCTTTATCTTGCTGAGTACTTTGAACAAAGTCTCTGACCTTCTGCCTACTTGTTTCTTATCCTTGAAGCAAAATTAAATTTCACTAAAGCATATCATAAAAATAATAATTCCCTCCCTCAAGTCTTAGACCTAGAAAGATTAATTACTCTTCCTCCTTCTTTGAAGAACTTCCCTTCAGTAAAGTCCTGCCCCATATTTGGAAAGACAATACTATACAGAGAAGTCAAGAATAATCTGCCTTGCTGAGTTCTGCTCTGTCTTTCACCGTTAGATAGTAGTTTTTGTCCTGACATTCTGCACAGTGGTGCAGAATTCATTGAACCTTAACATGAAACTGCAACTGTCTTTGCATTTTCATTTTGAAGCTTCCTATGGCACATAAAGTTGATTAAATAAATCTCTTAGACTTTTCTTTTGTTGACCTGCCAGAATTGAGTGAGTGATGTTCAGATGAATAAGGAAAGGGGTCACACTTTTCTACCTCACACTGTTGTCCATCAGCCTTTTCATATTCACCTCAGAGATGGTTTCTTTGCCTTTAATTTCTCTAAAAGGGTCGGCAGTTATTTTCCTGTGTTAGAAATAGCTTTCTGTATGTGCCCTAGCACAGTGCCTGGCTCAGAAGGAGTAAGTGTATTAACGCTTTGTGGAACTTATGGTATCGCCTTTTCCCTGGAGCTTTCAAGTTACTGTGCTGTATTGAGTCCAGACCTGGGTGTGTTGTTAGGACCCCCAGGCCTCGCCCCCTTGCGTGCATTCACCGCCATCTGGTTATGAACCGACACACTGAATCCTTGAGTCTGCCACCTCTGGATCCAGTGCTTCTTTCTGCCTATTAGAACCCTTCATCTGTCCAGTCAGAATTTTCCTTCTATTTTGTCTTTGTAGAAACTTAGTTTTCTGTGTTCCTGTAGGGTAGTGTCCGTCTGCATTTATTTTATTTTGATTATACTAACTGTCTCCTTGTGTACAGGGCTGGCCACATATACCTTTTTGTAGAGATCAAATAAATGTCTTTTGTCTTTCCCCTGTGTGGTAACAAAGTTGGCCCTTCTGTTGGCTCTGGAGAAGTAACCTCTAATTGCTTGGGGACTTTCTAGGAATAGTGGAGTGTCTGTTAATCACAGTGGCCCTGTAGTTTATACTAGAGAGAGACACAGTCTTGAGCTAGAAGCCCTGTGAGCCACATACAGCAGTGGGAGGGCCCCAACGTGAGTTCAGCCACATGACCAATTCAGTCAGTTGTTTTTACATCTTTAAATCTCAGTACCAGCCCTCTCTACCAGCTCTTGGGCAAGCTTCCTGGGTAGCAGTAGTGCTCTTGGAGTGCTGTCAACATTCGTGGCAAGAGGAGGGCACTTCATCTCAAAGGACAAGGAAACTCCCTAGTTTGTGCCTTCTTTTTTGGCTAGTTCTAATCAGTATCTTTTAATAAAACTGCCATATGTATCAAACTTCCCTGGGTATGGTGAGTCATTCTAGAGATTTGTCTAACACAATTGATGTCAAGATTCACAGGGTCTGTGAAGATCCCTGATTTGCAGTCAGCTGGAATGGAGTGAGAGTAGCCCTGGGGACTGTAACTTGGCTACTACTCTTAGAAGTTATGGGCAGCTGTGGCCGTTAGGAAGGGCTAACCCTGAACCTCAAGTTGGCTGTCTTCTGGTGGCCACACTCCTTTTAGCATAGGGCTCTTGCTCACGATCACTCAGTAGATCATGTTGATTTCAGCTAAACGTGCTTGTTTATTTGGGCGCTGTTTTATGAATTAACTTATCCTCAAGTGTGATATTCTCCGAAAGCCCCACTGTTGGCAGGGAGACAGGCACTTCCAGTTCGGATACTTCATTTTAAACTGAGTTGCAACCTGCTTCATGGATTTCATGACCTGCTAGCTCATTAGCATCCTTGTGAGAAGTGATTTGGTTATTACTGCTTTCTTCATATTTTATACGTGGGTAGTTGGCAACATCACTGTACTTGTGTTTGATAGCTGCGCTGCATGGGGGTTCACCCTAGACTGCAGTGTTGGTCCTCCACAGAGCAGATTACAGCCACTCTGCCTTGGATGTACAGGGTAGACTGCCTTCATGTTAGGAGTCACTGTCCACCTTTCCACCACAGCTAACACTCTGTGCCCTCTTCCTTCTTTCTAAGGTAACATTTGCCGGTCACCCATTGCAGAAGCAGTTTTCAGAAAACTTGTAGCTGACCAAAATGTTTCAGATGATGTAAGTACCATTCAGTAACTTAAAGAGGCCAGCCTAAACACCTTTGGGCAGGAAGTGCTGGAACATTCTTTTTCTCTCCTGCAGTGGAGGATAGACAGTGCGGCCACATCCACATACGAAGTGGGAAATCCCCCTGACTATCGAGGGCAGAGCTGCATGAGGAAGCATGGCATCCCCATGAGTCACACTGCCCGGCAGGTACCGTACCGGAGCTTGACCTTTGTTTTTTCTTACAGTGGGCCATTGACAGCGGTGCTGTTTCCGACTGGAACGTGGGCCGTGCCCCAGACCCAAGAGCTATGAGCTGCCTAAGAAATCATGACATTAGCACAGCCCATAAGGCAAGACAGGTAGAAGAGATCTTGTTATAATTTATGCTACATAGAATTTCATAACCTGAAAAGTTGTGAGACACTGACCAAGCTTGTTAACCCAGAGTTAATTTAGTTCTAAAAGACTTGCATGACTAGGATTCTGTATTAAAATGTACATGAAGGTTGCATAAATCATGATGGGAGAGCATTGGCTACAAGCTAGCCTGAGCTTTCCTATTGTGTAGCAACACACCCTCCTTAAAAGTTGAAGTGGGATCTTAGCACGTACAGTCAGCTGCTCTGTGAGAGGCTCATGTTACTCCTCCCAGCAGTCGATCTCTCTTGTCACATCCTGCTCCTGCTGGACACATGATGAGTTCTGAGTTTGGGGTTAGATGGTGCTGCTGTGAAAGGGGGTGTGTGTGCGTGTAGTTCTGAAGGATTTATACCTAGCATTGAATTCCACATGTCCGGTTTACACAGCCTCATGAAACAACACTGGAGATGTGGATTTTTTTTTCTCTCAAGTTTGTAGAAGATAGTATTTCTGATTTAATATTTTGGAAAATTTTAGCTCAATTTTTTTGTTGCTGTTTCTTTGAAATGGCTGTCATTTTCTTAAGTACTGTAAGGGTTTTGTCCATCATTGGCTTCAGCAGCTTTCCTGTGGGATTTAAAGAATGCTTCCTGAACTATGACTGGATGTTTTCATTTGTAAGTGGTTTGGAAGTGGGGCCTGAATAACTTGTAAGTGAAAAAGGTTCTTTCAGGCTGTAAAGGCTGCGATCTTTGCAGTAAGGGCCAGTCAGTGCCACAGAGGCCAAGAGGTAAGAAGCCCTACACAGCTTAGGAGCTTAGGGCTCCTGGAACTCACCTAGACCTGATTTTCTGTTGTCTGTGGCTGTGTTCCTGCTACAGTTACAAAGCTGAATACTTTCTGGGGAGAGAGTGTGTCCTGTAAGGCCGAGTCATGCCCCAGGAGCACATTCATAGCTTTGAAGATGAATTTTGATTTCTGTGTGTTTTTTGGTTGTTTTTGATAATGGGGCTGATTTGCAGAAGCTACTTCCTGTCTAGCTGTAGCAGAAATGCTTCACTGTGCATTTTTGTAAGATGTAAGTAAAATCTTCCTTTTCTCAATTATTTTAACACCTAAAAATCATGTATGGATTGACTTAAGTTCTTAAGCATTTTTTAAGGATGAATTAATTGCAGTAAGTCCCAAATAAGCAATGTTTGGATAGTTCTCACACAACTAATTTGGAAAAGTAGTATAATATTTAGTATTATAATACTTGTTCTAATAGATTTTGAAATAAGTGAATATTGTGGAATGTTATACAGTACGGAACTTTGTATTTGTTTAAATGGTGCACTAAAATTAAAGTACATTTATAAATGTTGGCCTATTTTTAAAAAATGAGCAGCAAACTTATTTATTGGGTTTTTGCTCTTGTCATTTTGGTCTATCCCCTTTGACCAGGTTTTCAGTGTTCCTGATAGAATTTCATTTGACAACTCTTTGTGCACATGTATTTAAGTGTATTTCTAAGCCACACGCCAGTCCCTTTGGTGATTAGTTTGCATTTCTACAGAGGGTCTTTGGTTTTTCTTCAGGCCTTCTGTTGCAGTCCTCCACTGCATTAGGCTGTGGAATTATCTCTACCTCCTAAGTAGCTGGGATTACAGGCATGAACAAACACTCCTGAGTTGATTTAGTTTTTTGAGATAGGGTCTTACTCTTTGCCTAGGCTTGCTTTGGACTGAGATCTTCTGATTTTGCCTCCCAAATAAATAGGATATTCATAACCCTAATATTTTAGGTGTTTTTGATTGTTGTGGATTTGTTATTAAAGTTCATTTATTTCTTTATTTTGGTCATAGGGCTTGAACTCTGGGCCTGGGTGTTGTCCCTGAGCTCTTCAGCTCAAGGCTAACACCCTACCACTTGAGCCACAGCGCCACTTCTGGCTTTTTCTGTGTATATGGTACTGAGGAATCAAACCCAGGGCTTCATGCATGCTAGGCATATGACTGGGATTCTGTATTAAAATGTTACATAAAAGTTACCTAAATCATAATGGGAGAGCATTGGCTATAAGCTACACTAACTTAACTCAGGGTTAACAGAGTTAACTCTACTACTAGGCCACATTCCCAGCCCTAAAGTTTTATTCTTAAAAATTATTTTCACTTTTGTTCTGAAACATGTTTTTGGTTTTCCTTTTCTTTTTGACTACATCATTATAATAGTCAAAATCCACAGATAATACTTTCACTAACATTTTAAATAGGTTTACATTTATGATGTTAGAACACAGTATATGTTCATATTGGAGTCAGCAAAGGTCCTGGAAGGAACCATTTTCTGTGGTGGCCTAACCTGTGGACTTTGAGTCAGAAAGAATTAAGCCCTACAATGTAGAGAACCAATCAGTCCATTCCTGGCCCACATTTGACAGTCTTCTTGTCATTGGTCCTCTCACTGCATTTTCCTCTCTGCTTCTTTTTTTTCCTTAGACACATTTGTCCTCTTACATAGTCCCACAAAGACAAGATCTGTCACTTCAGCTGGTGTTTGTCACCATGGCCTAAGACATTCAGTGCTTATGAGCATGGAGAAAGGAGATAAGAGTTGAGAATGGAGAGGATTAAGAATGAGGCATTTCAGTATAGTGTCAGAAATATACATTGTTGCCAGGCACAGGTGGCTCATGCCTGTAATCCTAGCTGCTTAGGAGGCTGAGATCTGAGGATCACGGTTCAAAGCCAGCCCAGGAAAGTCCCCGTGAGACTCTTTATCTCCAGAAAGATAAACCAGAAAACTGGAAGTGGAGCTGTGGCTCAAGTGGTAGAGAGCTTGCCTTGAGCAGAAGAGCTCAGCACCCAGGCCCAGAGTTCAAGTCCCAGGACTGACACCCCCACCCCCGCCCCCGCCAAAAAAAAATAAAGAGAAAGAAAAAAAGAAATATACATTGTTACTAGGGGACTGAAGCTAATGATGAATTTTCATGTTTATATCATACATTATTTTGTAACTATCCCAAGAAACCTGTGATACAAAATTTCTTTGCAGCACAGTTCAGGAAATACATTAACTGTGTTTTAACCTAAAAATGTCTTAAATTGGGCTGGGAAGTTGGCTCAGTGGTAGAGTGCTTGCCTGGCATGCATGAGGCCCTGGGTTCGATTCCTCAGCACCACATAAGCAGAAAAAACTAGAAGTGGTGCTGTGGCTCAATTGGTAGGATGCTAGCTTTGAGCCGAAGAGCTGAGGGACAGCGCCCAGGCCCAGAATTCAGCCCCCACAACAGACCAAAAAAAAAGTCCTAAGTTATTTACTTAAATGGTTAATGAGTAACAGACTCAAATACAATGTATTTTTTAACTATGTGTCTGATCCTGATATAAATGTAGACCCTGTGTTTTGACTTATTTACTCAATTTTAGGTTACCAAAGAAGACTTTGCTACATTCGATTACATACTGTGTATGGATGAAAGCAATCTGAGGTAATCATATTTTAAAGAGTATTTTTTTTCTCAGTTCAGTATTAGGCCAGGTTTGCTGTCCAAAAGTACCTTTTATTATCTTACAGTGTTAATGTACAGTAATTGTTATAGTGTACAGAATCACTTATTTAGTATAGCAAGACATTCAGATTATTTGCCTGGTAGATCTGTTTATAAAGATGTATCTATAAAGATGTAACTCCAGAAAGGGTTGGCTGATGGAACCGGATACTAGTGGGTTGTGATCTGTATCTGCAGAAGGTAATGCATTGATTTGTACATCCAAGACTGGTTTTGTTACTGCTATAATGATTTAAGAACTGGGTATTTTTTGGGTTTTTTTTTTGGGGGGGGGAATCCGGTTGTGGGGCCTGAACTCTGGGCCTGGGTACTGTCCCTCAGCTCTTCAGCTCAAGGCTAGCGTTCTACCACTTGAGCCACAGCGCCACTTCCAGCTTTTTTCTTTTTGCTTATGTGGTGCTGAGGATTCGAACCCAGGGCCTCAGGCATTCAAGGCAAGCACTCTACCACTGAGCCACCTTCCCAGCCCCTTGTTGATTTTTTTTGTTTGTTTGTTGGTCATGGGGCTTGAACTCTGGGCCTGGGTGCTGTCCCTCAGCTCTTCAGCTCAAGGCTAGTGCTCTACCACTTAAGCCACAGCGCCACTTCCGGTTTTGGAGTGGCTAATTGGAGATAAGAATCTCACAGACTTTCCTGTCTGGGCTGGCTCTGAACCTCGATCCTCAGGTCTCAGCCTCCTGAGTAGCTAGGATGACAGGCATGAGCCACCAGTGCCCAGCTTTATTTTGTTATTTCTTATTCCCCCATTATATCTGTCCCTCTTTCCCCCAGTAAGTCTGACAAAACAGAAGACTTTTTTGATGACTGAAACTGATGGACTAGGTTATTAGACAGCAGTGACTATAGTGTTGATTTGTTCTGCAGGCCCAAGCAGTTCTTATTATCAAAGAAGAAATTAAGGAACAGAACTTAAAGTTACTAACCCAAGTTCCTAGAGTGGGTGGATGTGGAAGATCTTATGCATTGCACTCACCACTCCAACCACAGCCCACCCTTGGTCCTTGCTCACTCCCCATTCGGCCCAGCCTTGCCTGCCCATCTCTAAGATATGGCACACATGGCTTCCTTAGTTCCTTTCTGTTGCCTTTGCTGGTCTCTGAAACACTGTCTTTTGGGGGGCTGTGTCAAAATAAATGAAACAGAAGAAGACTTAAAGATGTACACTTTGTGGGCAGAATCACTGAAAAGGTGCTGCTGTTGGGTCTATCTACTCCCTGAGAGACAGAGCTGACCTAGTTGCATAGGGTCCTGAGGCTCTGTAAAGGGTTGTGTTTCATTTCAATTCAGGTTACGTTGGCTGGACTTTGATGTAGGTATTTCTTAAACCCTCAGCAGATGTCCCTGTTTAACTTGAAACCATAGGTCAGAAAAATAAGTTCATGTTTCAATTTTGCAGAGATTTGAATAGAAAAAGTAATCAAGTTAAAAACTGCAAAGCTAAAATCGAACTGCTTGGGAGCTATGATCCACACAAACAACTCATTATTGAAGATCCCTATTATGTAAGTACATACAGTTGAGGCTGTGGGGCGGCCTAAAGATGGGCAAGCTGTAGCCTGTCACATGACAGGCTGAGGTCTCTTAAGGACATCTTTGTTTTGCAGTATTGCTAGTATTTTTTCTTCCTGTCCTTTCAGGGAAACGACTCGGACTTCGAGCTGGTGTACCAGCAGTGTCTCCGGTGCTGCAGGGCCTTCCTAGAGAAGGCCCACTAGGCCAGCACTGCCCACGGCCAAGCCAGCGACTCACCCCACTAGTGATGTGCCTAAGTGTAGTGGCGTTCCTTAGTCCCAGCCCCTGTTGTTTCTTTCTTATCTTAAAAATAATTGTAGGTGACAATTAGTTTTATTTATCCAAGAATAAAAAGGTTTTGTTTGAGGAAATTAGTTGACTAGTTGAACTTCTCACTTTGCTGATTACAAAACAGTGGAACAAACAAATGTGGGAGAACAAAATACAACTCAGGAAGTAATAATGACTGAGCTCTGGAAGACCTGGACAGTTTGGTCTACCTGGCATGTTGCCTGCCTAGCAATGTAGTGCCACTGCTCCCTGTGTATCGTGCTGACCTGGGCTCGTGCAGAGTCACAATAGCTCCACTGATAGCAGATCCTCTGCCTACCAGAGAAACGTTCTAGATCAGTTTACTCACAGTACACACTTACATGTTTAAGACAGAAGCAAGGCATGGGGTGGCTGTAAGTCCAGCATAGAAGCTGGGCAGGAGAATCATAAATTCAAGCCAGCCTGGGTGATAGCTTGCCTCAGGATAACAACACAAAATAAGGAAGATTGGATTGGTGAAATAACTCCTTAGCCTTTTTACTGCTTGTTGCTTTGTGTCTAGTTCATTTCATGGGAGTAAGATTATTTGCTCCCATTTGAGCCACTTTGCCTTTAAGAATTGAATTCTGTATTGGAAGTACACTTGTATGCAGGTTACCTTTGGTCAGTAGAGAGTAGGTTTTCCATACACCTGCAACTCATCAAGTGTCCAAAAGAAAGGACCAAATGTGAAAAGTTTTAAAAATTGCAGAGTCCCGTTACTTTGGTGTGCTGTAAGGATATGTTAGTGATTACTTTTTCATCAGCACTTAGTAACGCTCAGGCAAACAGCTAACTTTGGTGCGCCAACAGTTAGCTCACCTCACACCATAAAGATATTTCAGAAAAGATTGTCTTCAAAATAAACTGTGGAGTTACATAAGATAAATCTGGTGTTGGTTTGCTTTGTTAATGACAAGTAAAAAGCATTTGCAAACATCCCCTTATGTGTTCCTTTCCACATGGTTAGCGGTGGTATGTGTATTATCCTCAATATTTGGGAAGTAAAACAGGGAGGCAGCACTTTGTTGCCACATATAGCATATCTAGGTGATGGGACACTTCCAGGAAACTGCCTAGAAATGTCCCTAACACGGCTGTCCTTCTGGAGTCAGTGCCCCAGCTTCTGAGGAATTACTAGTACAGACAGAAAACTTAGGAGGGTAGGTTAGATTAGGACTAGGGTAAATTGAAAGAATTGAAAACTTAAGTGGTCAGTCATCAGTAGGAAATAATCAAATGAGACCAAACAGTCTCTTGTTATTAGTTGTTTTTAATCTCAAATTCCTTACTCTGTTGTATTCAAGTAAAATTCTAGTTTTCTTTAACGTTTATACATACATATGAAATAAACACGTAGCGCTTAATGGCTATTTGTTCCTTAGTGTTGGTCCAGATAGCACCATCTTATGGGGGCTGGTGACCAAGCACTGCTAGGTTTAAATGCTTTGCTAAGTACAACTTATCTTTGTAGTTAGATCAATTACATTTGTTTAAACTCTACCCATAAAGGTCTGGGACTGCTTAAAAGTCTTAGAGTTCTTCTTTGTTTGGTGGTGTCTTAACATAGATGGGAACAGAGAATGCATTTACTTGTATCAGCTATTGAATCAGGCCTAGCTTTTTGAGGAAATGTCACTAGTATTTAAAAACCTCAAAGCTGCTAATTTTCTTCTGCAGACAGGAACTTTTAAGTTTGATTTATGCCTCCTAAGTTCTGTGACATGCCAGTGAATCTTGGTAGATGTGCAAATCACAAATTCCCAGTGATAAGAGTTTAAAATCACTTTGAAGATTCCATATGACAAACATTTCATTTATTACTTGTTTTTATTTACATTATTTACATATTGCACAGTAGCTGGGATGCTATTTTACATTATTCTTACATAAGATAAATGGGATTAGCTTGGATGTATTCAGATTTATACTCTATTCCCTCCAAAACATGGTTGAAGTTTTTTGGCTTAAGTTCTTTTATATTTTTATGCAGTTCCAACTAATACTCTGGGAGTTTAATTGTAAAAGTAATAACAAAATATCAAATCATATTGTATGCTATATGAAAATATAGTTTTAAGATTTCTGCCTATGTCTCTAAAGAAATACTCTGATTTGCCTAACCAGGAAAATGAAGTATTTTCTTCTACACAACACATCAAATGTAGTGTTTTCTTGTTTTTTTTAATAGTTTGACAAGGATCATTGTCAAGTATACTGATTTACTGAATATATATTTGCACAGTGTCAACGTACAAAACAACGGAATTATGGAAGTCTGTCTGCAAAAATAAATCTCTGTCCACAGGGAATGGTAGAGAAGATGGTTCTGTTCCCTGTTGTTTTCCAAGGCACTTCGCAGGGTTCCTGGCGTGTTGCTCCTTTGCAGCTGAAAAGAAGTACATTTGCTTTCTTATAACCACTCAATTCTAGAGGACCTGTGAACAGCAGCCGTGTAACGTAACACATTTATAAACAAGGAATCTCAGTATGCATGTGTGTTTCTTCATGTTCCAGGAAGGGCAGTCTCATTTATTCTGGAGGACAGCTTAGTTGTGTGGTTGTGTGCCTGCTGTGCCAGCAGGATGAAAACCATCATGCCCATGTGTGAAAGTTTAAGGAATCGCGCTCAGGCTGGCCTGTGCAGCTGGAATCCCCAGGAATTCCATTCACAGTGATTGGGGATTTTTGCAGCAGTTACGGAAGAGCTGGCCTGCCTTTCACTTCTGCACAAGAGTAAGCAAAACTACTAACTTAAGACAATGTTATTGTCTGTAGTACTACGTGTTAGAATACTATGTATTGTTTATTTTTAAAATGAGGGATAACTTCATTTACGAGGATATAGTCAGCAGGCTAAACCTGGTACACTTAGGTTCTTACTAATCAAAACCACATTTAAAAAAAGTCCCAGAGCTCAGAATTTCCTTTAACTGAATCTGTAAGGCCAGTAATGTGTGTATGGCTCTCAGAGAACATACAGTTTCTCTTTGGTCTATGGAGGTTACTAACAGCTGCAGAGAAGAGACCCATGAATTTGCTCCTGGACCTGCTCTTGGACCTTGTAAAGGCAGTACCTCCTCCGGTTGGGCCGTTAAGAAGGAGGCTTTGGGCTGGAACTAGGACAGGCATCTGATCCTGTCTTAGGACAGATGACGGGCCCTGGGCCCTGAATGCAACTGAGGATGGCTCGGATTTAAGCAGCAGAGCATGTATACAAGGGTACAGAGAGACTTTGGGTGGCTGGCAAGTTAGAGGTTTTCTATTGCAGTGTAATTTAATCTTCAAAAACTCAGGTTTATAAGCTTATTGTACCTAACAAGAATTATCTGTTTCAAACTATCTACTTCCTTGCCAGAATGAGCCTGTGACGTCTGTGACCATCAAGTGGGTGGCCTTGACGTAGACTCTTATGTGCACAAGCCTTAGCTGCTGCGGTCCTAGTGTGCTTCAGATTCCCCTGGGAAGTGGAAGAGGACCAACATGTGACTGTTCAGTTCCCCCACCGTACATTTCGCTTGTTGCTTTCCTGTGATGTACCCAGGTTATATTCAGCAAGCATAGCTGCAAGGGCAGGTCAAGCCCTTGTAGGACAAGGTCCCTGATGATGACCTGGCTTTAGGAAACAATTACAAGTCCCCGTGGGAGCAGTTAGCTGTCAGCAGAAGGGAGGCAGCGTGGCATGCAGGCAGGGTAGTTAGGTCTTAGTGGGTGAGCTTCCCCTCTCAGCAACTTGAAATTGTTTCCAAAGAGGCCCCTGGTCACCTCTGGAACAGTGGTGACCCAACTAGAAAAAAGTGACATTCTTATCTCCCCAGCACATCAACTTGGGAAGAAAACAGGAATATATTTTTCCATTGTTTCAGAGAGAAAAGCCTTGCATGTCATAAAGATTGGAGAGCATCAGAGTAAGAAGGAAAACATGAACTTTTCAGCTTTGACTGACATTAAAATATCTTTGCATTCTACAGCAGAAAGAGCCAGTTATCTTTTATAGCCTTCTACTGCCTCACCCTGGTGTGATTCCTGTCATTTAATGACACTCACTGCTGATGGGGAGGCCCCAACCAGGTCCATTGTCTATCTCAGTGTGTGTACACTGCCTTCATTCACACAGCATCAGTGCATAAAACAGTCAGAACCAGAGCAACCACTTGAAATTAAAAAAAACAACCCTTTTCATTATTTTCCTGGGCAGCTGGAATGTTTTCTGGTAATTGCTATTTGTAGGCAGGAAGCACATCTTACTGGTGGTGGCATGCACCCACCTGTCAGTGCCTAACACACTGACAACAGAGAGTATCAAACTGGCACGAAGAGTTTTACCAAGCTGTCTAAAGTGCCTGAGTCCTGCAGCATTTGCATTAGGAAAATGAAGCATTGTGTCTGCTGTTCATTATTGGCTGCACAGTTGATAGTTGCTGCTGCTTGTCATATATTGTCCTGAACAGGCCAATGCAAAACAGTAAACTAGAAAATGCACTCTCATTTCTGCCACTACTATGTAAAACTGAGCAACATTTACAGAGGACAGCTAATCTATGTAAATATTTTTGCCTACTAGTGTTACTCTAATCCAGACCTTTATCAAATGTTATTAAATCTGTGGAGGAAGGTTGTATGGACCACATAGGTTTTGATTTTTAATTGATCAGCGTGTAAAAGCTGTGCCCGTCCAGTGAAGATGATGCTCATTTTGACTCATTTTGCTTCATGCCTGTAACCTTAGCCATTTGAAAGACAGAGATCAGGGAGAATCATAGTTCAAAGCTAATCCTGGGAGGAAAAAAACTCACAAGACTCCATCTCAACTAGTAGTTGGATGCAGTGGTACATGCCTGTCTTCCCAGCTACTCAGGAGACTGAGATCTGATTCAGTTCCATGCCACCTGGGGCAAAAAAAAAAATCTCAAAATCTAGTCTCAAGGAAAAAAGCTTAAGCCTGTCATCCCTGCTACAAGAGGAAGTATAAGCAGGTGGATCTTGCTTCAGGCCCTCTCTCAAACATAACACAGCCAGAGCAAAAGTGCTGAAGATATGCCTCAAGTGGTACAGCATATGTCTAGCAAGCTCCAAGCTCTTGAGTTCAAACCCCAGTACTGCCAGAAATATTTGGCTGTGACCTGTCTGGGTTGATAACAGGACAATTCTCTTGTGATGGGCAGTGGCTGTTAACCTTGGCCCCCAACCAGCCATGTCTGGAGGTGAGTTAAATGGAACACGATTTCAACTGGTGGGCTTATCAGGAGGTAACTTGCAAACTGAGGAGCATTTGACTTCATTTATGAGTACTAGTCAACATGGGAAAGCATAGGGGTAAATATGCATGATTTTAAATGTGTTCCTTTTCCAGGTTCTCCGAGTTGCAGTCAGCTGTGGGAAGTGTAGGTAGGGACACTGCCTGGCCACTGAGAGTGACCAGCAGGGGGCGCCTTTTGCTCACAGCTAAAGCTTTGAGACTTTTTTGACTGTCGTTTGCTAAGAATAAGGCTATATTGGCCAGATAATTCACATTTTATACTCCCATGAATGCGTTTTCACATTCCGAGTGGGGTTCTGACCAGCAGGCTCACCACCGTGACAATTTGGGAGCTTACCTTATCCCTCCATGCACATGGGACTGACAGCCAACCGGGTAAGAAGCCTGGCACATCTTTTATAGTCTACAGTGAAAACAAACCACAGACCCTTGTCAGCTGCTAAGCAACAACATATAGAGTGGCTTTGTTTTTGCAAGTAAATCAACTGCATTAAATAGTGTCCTACACTGACCCAAAAGCAATGCAGAAATCTGTCATCTGCAATCATGGGTCCTGATTTAATCATCTGTAGTCCTTCAGGTATGCTAGCATCACAAGCAAAAAGCCAGTAATGCACCTGAGGTTTACTCACAGCTACCCTTAGTCACATGGCTGCCAGGCTCATGGAGATGATTACAGTAGAGTTCTTTCCAGGGAACGATGACATCTTTAACTTTTAGTTCACCTACAGACTGAGTCCACATCTGAGCTACCTATGACACAAAGACTTCTGCATTAGTCTTCAAAGTACAGTGAGTCAAAAATAAGAGCTGGGTAAAAGTAAAAGCTGGGTGCACTGACAAGCCTGGAGTCTTAGTCCTCAGGAGGCCAACAAAGCAGGGGTACTGCAGGTTTGAGGCTAGCCTAGCCTACATGGCAAGATCTTGTCTCAAAAAACCACCCCAAACTACAGAGCTAATCTTGAGGGAAAAAAGCAAAAAACAAAAACAGAAGGTTAGGCTAAGTGTCTAGGCCCTGAGCTCAAGCCCTAGGTCCAACATGGAAGGAAGGAAGGGAGGGAGGGAGGGCGAGAGGATGAGGGAGAAGAAGGCTGGCCCCAAACTAAAAACAAACAAACAAAAAAAAAAACAAGAGAATAACATTGCAGACATTTGGACTAGGCTTGGAAAAGCAGCAGCAAGCTGACTTCTGAGCACACACTGATGTTCTTGATGCCTTGTATAATTTCCCATTCTGCTCTTTTGCCAGGTGCCACCTCAGAAAACATTTTGAAATCTAGTGGCTATATCTGGAAATTTCTTCTAAATGAAGTTCAGTGGAAAGCTATAGTTGATTATAAATTACTAAAGTTTTATTTCTCAGGAGTAGAAAGGGAAAAGTTTGTACTCAGACCTGAATAAAAATGAGTAAACTGACAATAATAAGTCTGTACAATACCTTAGATAAGAAGCTTATGAGTTCCAAGAACATGCCTTCCAAATATTAATAAAATATACCCTTTGGCTAGAGAACTGGTCATATAGACCATTTCTTCATTGTTCTTATTCCACACTCTCAGGAAGGTAGCTTCCTCACTATGGTATGTACTGAAGGTGAGTGGGTGTTAAGTTAAAGGACTAGTCTCATCAACAGATCTGCTTCCATGTGTAACAGCGCTAAAGACCACAGCTGGCCCCCATCTCTCTGGGCACACAGGTCTCTAGCAGTGCCCCTGCACACCCTAATTTAGGTACATTGAGTCACCTGGGGATCTTAAATGCAGATTTTGTTCCTTGGGATAGGAAGAAACCTAGTCATACATTCTACAAAGCTCTCCTGGCCCACCCTGCCTAAGAAAGCTCCAAGGTCCCTTGCAGTTCCCCCTTTCTAGGATCTCAGGGATTTCCCTGTGTATAGCCTACAGTGGCCCAGAAGTGGTCAGTGCCAGATACTGAGCTTCTTATGTTCTCAGCAGATGTAGAAGTAGCCACAAGTCGCTACTACAGCTGTCCTTCTAGTCTTACAGAAAAGGAGGTGCCTTGCAAAGACTTGCAGAGAGGGGGCAAGAGCCCAAGTCTGACTCCCAAGTGGCAGCACTCCGGCAATTAAACTGTCCTTCATTCACAAGTTAAAGAATTACACCTAGTGACCCAAACTTCACTTTCCAATGTAAAAATCTATGTTCTATGTCAGCAAAATGCATTCACACTTAAACAAGTAGAAGGTTCTGTTTCCTCAGGAAGCTACTTAGTAATTTTCAACAGAAGATGCTTCTTCAGAAGAACACGGGAGGGAATTGGGACAGAGGGTTCACACCAAAGCCCAGAGGATGAGGCCGACTCGGGGCTCCAAAGAAGGAGAGCTGAACTCTGCAGGGAGTGTGGGCCTCCTGCGTTTGAAAAGATGTCATGATGCGGTGTATCCTGGCAGTGTCCGCACAAAAAAGCAGCCCTATAATGAAGGTGTCGCCATTCAGAATGGCTCTGCTGCGTCAGCAGAGAAAAAACTTCTATGCCATGTGAAATGCAACGTTCTGGAAGGCAGGATGGACTGCCTGGGCTGCTTGATGTCTGGGTTATCTGAAAGCAGCCAGCCAGCCAGGTTTCTGGTGCGTCGTGGCTTTTCTCCTTGAGCTTTAAAGGAAGTGAAAGTTGCCATCTGGTTTTATGGGGGAAAATGATTTTATGAAGAGCATACAGAATTACTTGGCAAAATAAAATACTGTGCTATGGACAAACAGCCAAAGTATGTCAAAGAGAATGAAAAGAAAGCAAAGAAGAGAAAGTTTTGGTTAAGATTTGGATAGGAGCAGGAACTTCACGTTTCTGAACCAAAGAGTAGAATTTTAAAATAGCAAAATTCCTGGGTAATGAGGCTGTTATTACTGATGGAAAGAAAAAGTCTCTGTTCAGGGCAGTGGAGATGGACTGGAAAGATTAGCACTCATTCCAGGTCAAGTGTGGTGTCCACTGCTGTCGAATTTAGCTGTTTGCTCAGGTACTTGAGCATCCTGGCTCACAGCTCAGTCAGACAGGGTTGGACATGGCCCTTATGCATTTCAGATGTCAGAGTCTGCTGCGTGGAAGGGTGTGGAAGGCTGCCGGTGAGTTAGGTATTGACTTACATGCAGGGATGGTGCAGTCTCGAGTGTTGTGGTAAAGTCTGTGGAAGTGTTTGCTGCACTTCGGACTGAAATAAAGAGGCCCTGGAACACAGAAGAAGATGGCCATGAAGGCTCTGGGAGCAAAGGAGCAGATTGGGATCAGGAGTGAGAGAATACGCACCTGTGAGGTGTTTCAGAAACTTGTCCTTCATCCTCAGATCTCTAGGCACAATCTCTGCGGGGAGAGAGATCATTACACTTTATCAAGTAATTATCAAATGTGATTTTATGTGAATATTGAAGAAAATTTTGGGAATTACATTGCCAATTACAAAATTACACATTAGATAAAAGCCTTGACTCACATATAATACAATGTAAAGCCAGACTAGGGAATATCTTTTCCAATAGTATCAACTTGTAACATATCAATAGCTATTTTCTATGACTATGATAGAGTCAGAGATCATAAAGTTACAAGGTGAAGAAAGATTTATTCTTTGCATAGCCTCCAATGAATCACCTTAAGACTTCATTTTGAGGAGCTTGGGAACCAAATTCCACAGTATTTCAATGTTCTGGAAAGAAACTCAAAGGAAGTGCTACAAAAGTTCTACCTTAAAGGTAAATATGTTGCAAAAAGGACAAAGTGCCTTTCAAACCACTTGCTATAAAGCCTGGTAAGCATGATTGGGAATAGACCCCTGGCCTGGTTTACAACCCAAGTGGCGTTTTCTTACTCCTGCTGCTCTTCTTTAGAAACTGTCCCCAGCAAAGGTTTCCTGGTTTGCTTTCTGGTGTAGGCCTTTTTTGGGGGGGGGGTGGTTGCGGTCGTGGGGCCTGAACTCTGGGTCTGGGTGCTGTCCCTCAGCTCTTTAGCTCAAGGCTAGCGTGCTACCACTTGAGCCATAGCACCACTTCTGGCTTTTTTCTGCTTATGTGGTGCTGAGGAATCGAATACAGGGCCTCATGCATGCAAGGCAAGCGCTCTACCACTGAGCCACCTTCCCAGCCCCTGATGTAGAAGCCTTTCTTTTTGCTTTTATTACAGTTTCTGTGGTCAGTTCCCATTCCCCAGATGAGGCCAGTAACTTCTCTATGATTATATGCAAGATGTCACACTTTATTTTACCAGAAATAATTCTTCCCTTCCCACATCTCAAGAGGACACTGGTGTTTGGGTCTTCCACATGCAGGGTGGAGACCTCGCCCCAATGTCAGTCTTCATTTACTTTTCACTTGAATCAGTCCGCACAGAATTGACCTTATCATATTTGACCTAATTGTGTCATGAAAGCATTAAAAGCTTGCATGCTTCTCTGGGAAATTCCCCACAGGCAGCTGCTCTGGGAAGGGCTCCTCCAAGGGGAGAGCTCGGACCATTTCCTTCCCAACCAAACACTGTACTAAGAACACTTCCATCTCCAAAATAGCAGATGTCGGTTTTTTGCAGAAATTCCTAACCTAGGCAACAGCTCCAAGTCTTAGGTGTAAACTAGGAATGGTTATTTAAGGGGCTCAAAAGCCTCCTGTTACTACCAGGTCCTTTTTCAGAAAGAGGTAAAGAAGGGAGCGAGGAAGAGAGGAAGGAGACAGGGCGGGAAAGGGGAGGGGAGAGCCAGTGCAAATTCTTTTTCTTCAAACAATCAAAATTGATTTTTTAAATGTGTTTCTCAAAGGCAATTTTATTTGCAAGAAAATACGAATCTTCTTGTAAGGCATCTGGAGGGTTCTACTGCCAGGATCCTGGGCAGCCGCAGCCCCTTGGTCTACAGTGTGGGGCATTCTGCTTCCTTCAGGTCTGCACTTCAGCCCTCACCTGCTGTCCCCGGACCCTGACCTCTGTCCCCGGATCCTGCCGTCTGTCCCCAGACCCTGATCACTGTCCCCAGACCCTGACCGCTGTCCCCAGACCCTGACCTCTGTCCCCAGACCCTGACCACTGTCCCCAGACCCTGACCTCTGTCCCCGGATCCTGCCTTCTGTCCCCGGACCCTGATCACTGTCCCCAGACCCTGACCACTGTCCCCAGATCCTGCCTTCTGTCCCCGGACCCTGATCACTGTCCCCAGACCCTGACCACTGTCCCCAGACCCTGACCGCTGTCCCCAGACCCTGACCTCTGTCCCCAGACCCTGACATCTGTCCCCAGACCCTGACCGCTGTCCCCAGAACCTGACCACTGTCCCCAGACCCTGACCGCTGTCCCCGGACCCTGACCACTGTCCCTGGACTCTCACCTGCTGTGCCCGGACCCTGACCTCTGTCCCCAGACCCTAACCTCTGTGCCCAGACCCTGACCTGCTGTCCCTGGACCCTGACCTCTGTCCCCGGGCCCTGACCTCTGTCCCGGGCCCTGACCTCTGTCCCCGGACCCTGACCTCTGTCCCCGGGCACTGACCTGCTGTCCCCGGACCCTGACCTGCTGTCCCTGGACCATGACCTCTGTCTCCGGACCCTGGACGCTGTCCCTGGACCCTGACCGCTATCCCCAGACCCTGGCCGCTGTCCCCAGACCCTGACCACTGCCCCCAAACCCTGACCGCTATCCCCAGACCCTGACCTCTGTCCCCAGACCCTGACCTGCTGTCCCCGGACCCTGACCTGCTGTCCCTGAACCCTGGCCGCTGTCCCCGGACCCTGGCCGCTGTCCCCAAACCCTGACCTGCTGTCCCCGGACCCTGACCACTGTCCCCAGACCCTGACCGCTGTTCCCGGACCCTAACCGCTGTCCCCAGACCCTGACCGCTGTCCCCAGACCCTGACCGCTGTCCCCGGACCCTGACCGCTGTCCCCGGACTCTGACCTGCTGTCCCCAGACCCTGATCACTGTCCCCGGACTCTGACCTGCTGTCCCCAGACCCTGACCGCTGTCCCCAGACCCTGACCTGCTGTCCCCGGACCCTGACCTGCTGTCCCTGGACTCTCACCTGCTGTCCCTGGACCCTGACCGCTGTCCCCGGAC